CAAAGAGTCCTCTCTTCGCATGAGGTGACCAAAGTATCTGAGCTTGAGCTTCATTATCAAATATTTAAGTGTTTTACAACAAAAGGCACTGTGCAACTATTCCAACTTTCCATCCTGAAGGGATTTTTATTGGTAAGGAGAAAGTTGGAAGAAGGAATGGGAAAAGAATGGAGGGTTATAAATGAAAGATAATGCCACCTGGTATCCTCCTGTAAATGAGGCAGACAGGTTGGAAAATAATGACTTATTCAACAAGTCTTTTGTGGAGTCCTTAGTGCTCTCTGAACTTGGTTGTTTGATGACAGACCTTTCAATACCTGACATCAATGCTAATGAGTGTGGGGTTTGCTCCCTGTTTATATACAGTTTATGTAAACCCCACACTCACTAGCACTGATGATGTCACCTAGTCAGATAAGGAAACGTCTGCCATCAAACAACCAAGCTCAGAGAGCACCAAGGACTCTGCAGTTCAGCCCTGAGCTGCAGATCTTCTCTTCTGCGGGTAACAAGTCTTTTTTCCCATGTTCCAGCATTGTAACGTCGTAATGTTGGAATGTGTGTTTTGGCACAATTGACAGGCACGATTTTTCTTTCATCTGGGTATTTGGTGCTGGGTTGACTGAATATTTCCTGTAATTAAATGAAAAGCTCCTGTGTTTTATGTGGTTAGGAAGTTATTGGTATTTTGGTTTGGCTAAGGGCCTCTGCGTGTGCCAGCGCATTTGATCCTGCATGAGACGTTGCCTCGTCACTTCCCTAATTTCTTTCTAAAATACTTACCAACTGGATATTTCTTTTTGGAGTCTGCTATTGTCTATCTGATTTTTTTTTTAAATATTGTTGCAACAGGTCTTATGTCTCTAATTACCAGTTCCATTTCACATGAATTTTGCTTCTAGTATCTGTGAGAGATTCTGACCAGTTTATGGATTTCCTTTTCTCTGGCTTTCCAATCTTCTCTCTCTCTCTCTCTCTCTTATTCTCTCCTTTAACTTCTTTTCACTTTATAGATTATTTCTTCTCTCTCTCTCTCACGCACACGCGCACACACACACAGACACACACACAGATAAACAAGAGAGAGAAAGAAAATCAGGAAGGAAAAGGATCTGACATTTTTAGAAGGCTATTTAAACATTCCCTTGTCTCTCTCACCCTAAAGATTTATAGGAAAATTTCAGATGTGATGTACTGGTGGAAACTGGATTATAGTATCTTATTGCCTTATGCAAACCTATTTAGTTGTTATTGTATTCATATATGTGTAGTGTTTCAATGAAGAGGGGTATTTCATGTTGCATGTAGCTTTAATTCTCACCTAATTAAGCAAATCACAAAAGGACCTATGGAATTTGAGACTTGTTCTGAACCCAAACTTTTTTAGCAAGGGAAAAAATGTCTTTTATTACAGTAATGCTGAGGAAGGAGGGAAGATACTCTGGTGGAACAGCTACCATATCCTATAGGTCAGGAACTCTCAGACTGTGGGTTGGGAACCTCCAGGTGTCACAAACAGGGAGGGGTCAGATTTTTTCCCCCAAACCTGAATAAGCTTGTAAGGGTTAAGTGGGAACCCTGTCAAAAGTTGCTCTGAGCTGTGCTCCTTGTTGTGCCTGGGCAAGCCCAAAGTGGGTAGCTGCAGGACCACAAATTTTGAGAGCCCCTGTAGATGAAAATGTGCTCATTAACAGTAAGTGGTACAGTGTTACCTCGGTTCACGAACTTAATTCGTTCTACGACTGGTCGCGAACCGGATTGGTCGCAAACCGAATCAAATTTTCCCATAAGGTTCAATGTAAATACGGTTAATCCATTCTGAACCATATGTATTTTT